TATCTCTCAAAAAGTCGACAATCCAATTTAAGGTCGTGGATTTTATGCCGAGATCACAGAGCTTGGCAACTAACGTCTGGTGGTCAATAAGGTCAAATGCCTTACGGAAATCGACTAGCGCAGTTCTCACAGACCATCCAGATTTGTCGGTGATCTTTAGCTTTAGAACATGGAGATAAGAGCATGCGTCGTAGACGAGCCAGGAATAAAGCCATACTGGTTAGGATCAATAGATGATAACAAGGTTGGTTTAAGAGACCTTTCAATGAGTCTTGGACAACGTGGATGTGAGCGAGATAGGTCTAAGGTCCTTAGTTAAGTCACATACAGTAGAAGCCTTGGGAAGTGGTGAGATGTCTGCAAGCTTSCAGACTTGGGGGACTTTACATTYGGCAAAAGAAGTGTTAAGGATGTCAGTAACTGGGTTAGCCAAGATGTCAGCAAATTCTTTGARGACCCAGTTRGGAAGATTGTCAGGGCCACCTGCTCTAGCATTACTCATTACGAGCTCGAGGTTTGGTAGCAACAGAAGGCTCGTCAACGGATATTGGTTGATCATCGTGTCTATGGATGCAAGCACTATCTGGTAGAKGCACGTAGTCTTTCATCACAGTAACGAACGCGTCGTTGATGTTTTCTGCCAAAACAGACTCATTACAGGCTAAGCCAGCGTGAAGTATAGATGATAGATCACGACGATGTCCTTTAGCCGCACCACATAGTTGTTTGACTTCCTGCCACCAATCACGAGGATTTGTATCGCATAGGGTCTTAACTTTGGTTTCGTAGTAAACCCTCCGACATCGTTTACGTTCGCGGTTAACCTTGTTTCTTTGCATCTTGTAGAGGGTGTCGTTATTGGAGGCAAGAGCCTTTTGGCGGCGAGAAATAAGACCTTTTAGTTGAGCGGTCATCCATGGGCGATCATTTTCATGGATTCGCACAGACCGTTTAGGCATAATTATGTCTAAACCAACGTTGATTATTTCAGTGAGCATTTTCACCTTCTCTTCGCTTGACTGCAGGGAGGACAATAAGGTAGACCAGGGCACTTGGAGTAGAAAACGTCCCATACACGCAAAAATTACTTGGTGTCTTGTCTCTTGCTTTAATAGTCATGTGTTGGAAACTTTTCTTCGTGTTCCTGCATTTAACAAAATCGTMAGATGATCAGAGAGGCYGAACGCCGGTAACGGACWGGGACGGGAGTAGAACTCAGACATATTGGTGAATATTTGGTCCAGCGTCCGCTTCCCTCTTGTAGGGAAATCAACCATAGGCTTGAGTTGGAAGGGCCTAACGGCTGCTTTAAACAAGGGCATAAGTGTTTTATTGAAGTCACCTGCCATAATGAAAGCGATGTAAAAGGTTCTTTGTAGGGTGTGCCGCAAGGACCTCAAAACGGTCAAAGTGATTGCCACGACTATTATAAGGGTTTTTTGAACATATCTTGAAAAGAGCGAGCAATGACAGTTAAAAAAAMCATCTAAAATATTTGGCAGTGATTGCGGGTTTATTAATTGTAGCATAGTGTTTTCTGACGTGTAATTTCGTAAGTATTGCCGTAAGTTAGAAACCACATCCCCACAAATAATCATGAAAATCAGTTAATATAAGAAACTTTTATATAACAACATTTATTCATCCCATCGTTTTCAAGACAGTTACAGTAAAATGGACTGATTAGTAATGTCACAGGCAGTGTAGTTATTTTGCCTCAGCTTTCTRCGCTTTCCTCTTTGTCTTCATCGATATCGCCTGCCGGGTCATTATGGGAAATAGAGAGTGCTGACATCTTTGCTGATTCTCTGAGAGTTTCGGGTGACTCCATCAGAGATACACAATTGCGTTCACACGATAAAGCAGCAACTAGCCCCTTATCTGATAATGTGATACAAAGAATGAGCATAAGCACAATTTAGATACTGAAATTTCAAGTAATAATTTTCATCATTACCATTTGAGTTTGTCATGTCAAGTACCCACTGACATTCTAAGGAGAAATGCTTYATTACATGGTGCAAAAGTTCTTTCGGACAATTCTCTTCGCTTTCTCGTGGAAAGCAAAAAGCATTRCTGCTATTCTCGTTTTCCTCAAAGCGGCTGTGCACTTCATTTGCACCACCCTTGGTCCAATAGCCAACAATAATTGGGTGAACGCTGTTGCTCATCAT